TAGGGAAAGCATCACTTCCCCCTGATTAAAAGTTTGGGTGATGCAGCTCTATTCCCTACCACATCCCGTGACCACGAGGACTGTGGTGCTGCCCCAGGCCATTACGCTAAGCTCAAGGGTGTCCTGTTACGTGAAATATTTCTGCACACAAATATAACCCACTATTGCGGTTGGGACACGTGCCACACGGAGCAGCTAGCCTGGCCCTTAGAGGCTTTCTTTCTGCTGGTGAAAGGAAAGTCTCGTTCTCTCTCCCACCGTTTTCCACCTTTAATGGTCTTCTTGCTAATGTTTTTAATGCCCTTTCCTCCATTCTCAGTCCCGGGATTTCTCAATTGGAAGGTTAATTGCACAGAAAGACTGAAGCTGGCTTTGTGGATGAGTGGAGATGATTGCACCATTGCTACTATTAATTCGTGGGTTTTAAGGAAAAGGAACATCATTCACCAATTCCATGCTGGAGAGAATGATTCTATCAACGCAGACACACATTCCTGCGCTCGATGCAATCATAAACTTTGTAGAGACATTGGAGAGCCTGCAAGGCACGTGTGAATAACCAAAGGGAACAGAATCCTAGATAATGAGGGCGTGAAGGGAGCTCAGGAGGTCACATCTAGTCCAACCTCCTGCTCCAAGCAAAACCAGTCCCAGCTCCATCATCCCAGACCTCCAGGGTATTGCAATCATTGAATCACAGAAAAGTGAGGGTGGAAGGGAGCTCAGGAGGTCACATCTAGTGCAACCCCCTACTCCAAGCAGGACCAGCCCCAACTACATCATCCCAGACAAGGTTTTGTCTACCCGGGTCTTCAACACCTCCAAGGATGGAGACCCCACCACCTCTCCGGGGAGCTTGTTCCAGTGCTTCACCACCCTCCTCAGGAGGAAGTTTTTCCTAATATCCAACCTCAACTTTCCTTGCTGCAGCTTGAGCCCATTGCTCCTTGTCCTGTCATCTGCCCTCACTGAGACCAGTCCCGCTCCATCCTCTTTGCAGCCCCCCTGCAGGGAGGTGAAGGCTGCAATTCAATCCCCCTCGGTCTTCTCTTCTCCAGACTCAAGAGTCAAAGTATAATTCGAACCCTGGTTATCTAGACCATGCCCCCTGCCTGAGGCAGGATCAGGTTTGTCCAAACTATCCTGCATAAATCCACTGTAAAGACAAAGCTACATCTGGTCCATTGGCCTCATCACCTCCGTCACTGCCTGCCCCTACCTGTGGGTGTTTTCTGGGCACATGTGCAATGCCCTGTCAGTCCTCATTCAACACCCCCCTCTACAGAGCTGCTGAGCAATGGACTCAGGATTATTTTAATTACTGTGGCACTGTTACACTTTGCAAGATCACAGGGCAAACCGTTAGCATGTCTGATCCCCTGAACCTTTTTAGGGTTTGTTGCAGGACAGCGGACACTGATGTCTGCATGACTGTGCTTTGTCCTAGGATAAAATGGCTTCTCCCAGGACAAATCCAGTGTCTGTTTGTAGCCACAGTTTCACAAGCAATTACCATGCAAGCACCATGCCTTCACGAAAGAGGTACTGCATTGTTGGTTGTACGGCAGCGTTTCGATTGCATGGAGCGGACGTAAGCAGCAGGACAGTTTGCTCCCAAAACTGACCATCGCTGGAGCGCTTCAGACAGAGAGCAAAGCTGGCACTTGCATTTGCTTTTTGGGCGGAGGTGTTTTGAATAGGGGATTGCCCTGCATGTCGTTTTAGATCACCTTTCAATGCAAAAAGGTGGAAGAAAAAGTTACACTAAGAAAATACCCCAAATTCTCATTGAAAAATCTTCATTCAATGGGAAGCTCACTGCAACAGCTCAGCAGAAGCACAACAATATTAGACCAAGACTAAAAAAAAAAATAAAAAAAGGGAGCTTTATTAATCCAAGTGGCTTGCTCCATCTAATGGACTGGTTGCAGATCCAGCTTTTAAAGCCTTGTCTGAATCTCCCAGAAGGCAGGTCATCTCTACATTTGAAGACTGTACATGATCTGGCACATAGGTCCATTTTAGGTAGCTTTCAGGTCACCCTTTGGCTTAAACACCACAACGCTAAGGCATCAAAAATGCTTAAAGTCATCTCAAAGAGGAGCTGACACTGCTGTCCAATGACAAATAGCACCTTAGTTTTGTGAACCCATCCTGTAGTTTTTGCAGGGAAAACACAGGGTCTACTCCTACTGCGAGGGTGATGCTGACATGACCATGGAAATACCATATTAATAGGCAGCCATGCAAGAGCAACCAAGCCAGATACCATCTTCCTTCTCCTTGCTGGGAATCCAAACACCCAAAATGTGTTTTGAGTGTTCGAGTTTTTAAGGAATTAGGGATCAGAAAGGACCACATGGGTCATTCCAGCTTTCCCATGATATCAGGCCACCATGCAATAGGCATGAAGTCCAAAAAAGTCCACTTAGGGCCACCTACCCCATGGGCTGGTCTCTTCATGCCTTCTGAAGACTAAAAGATTTAACTGACCAAATAAAAGTCTCCTATGCAATGCAAGTGCCTATGCTTTTAATGCTGCTCAGGTGCTACAAACCTTTAGCAGCCCATGAACACATCTACTTACTTTCCTGCAGTGGACCAGATGGTAACAAAGCCTGGCAGATACTAGAAACGAGGAGCTGGAGCAGTTAGGCCATGCACCAGGCAACCCCGGTGACTATTGCAAGACAGAAATGAAGGGGAAGCTGCCATACATATTCACTTCCTCTGCTGCGTTGTTTCTTCGTAGTGGCAGCTGTGAGCAGAGCTATTATCCCCCTCCCCATCTCCTAATTTATTAGCGCAGGGCTGATCCCAGCATTCCTAAAAGCAATGGGCCAAGATGATTTATTTCCTGGAAGCATGAGCAGGCTTCTGCCGAGAGCTTTTATTATAATTACAGGTGTAAAATGTTAATGTCCATAATTTTTTCCCGCCCAAGAAATGGCACAGATTACATTTCTCTCCCCAAATGCACCAGGCAGTTTATGTGCAAATTCAGTGCTTTAAAATGGCCTTTGAGTGACAGCCCTGGAAGCTGAAAGCTGAGCAGCATCCAGCAAAGCACTCCTAAAACAGTTCCCCCAGGGACAGAAATAGTCTGGTGTTGGGATGAGAGTGCCCTTTTAGCAATGAGCCCCTTGCAAGGCATCAAACACCCATCAGATGATACCAATGCTCAGTCCCATCATGCCCCTCATAGGTTGCAGGAACTGAAGCATGCCCACCTTCAGTGATAAGCTCTGCCACCTGAGCTAAAAGGCTCAGCTTAGCCACCCAATAGTCCCTTTATGTGCATCCTAATTACCCCTTGATGAAGACTGGCAGCCATGCTAAGTGGGTGTGTTACAGCCAGAGTCCTCACCCCTGAGCTGGAGCGAAACCAGTGAAACGCTGTTGCATGACTAGTTGGTGTCCCAGTTGGTGCTCTCCTATTAGGCACTTCCAGCACAGCACTTATTGATGGGCACCATCAAAGTTTTATTCTTTTACCTAATTAGGTGCATCTACTTCCTCTGCCCTTGATTTGCAGCCCCTGAAAACTCCCCTGCTCCAGAGCTTGACCTCCTTCATCTTTTTGAACTGGTTTTTGCAGTTGTGTGATGGAGTTAAGCAAAAACAATGTTTTCCTTTGCTATTTCGCTTCGGCTTCGTCCACTTTTTTCCTAGATATGAGGAAGGCTTCTCCAGACATCTTCCCTTAGTTGGTCCAATAAAAGATAATCACCAAACAAGCCTTGCTTTTCCCTCCATCATTAGAAACACAGAAGAAGATGTGGAGAAAAGCTGAGTTGGACCCATCGAACTCAGTTTCCCTGCGGCTATCAAGACTGATCTGTAATGATAATAAGGTATGGACATCTGGGTGTCTCTCCCTAGTCTATAGTGGATGGGCAATGGTCAAAGCATGACATCTAAGGCACAAATGAATACTGCGAGTGATTTAAAGCAAACTCCAGTTTGGGTTGGTGGGTCCTGGTGCTAATTAGATGGGCCATAGCCTACCCAGGCCTATCCTTAGCTGCATACAGGAGACCATCTGTTTTCAGTGGGTGCAGATGGCAGAACAAGGAACAATGGGCTCAAGCTGCAGCAAGGGAAGTTGAGGTTGGATATTAGGGAAAACTTTCTCCTGAGGAGGGTGGTGAAGCACTGGAACAGGCTCCCCAGAGAGGTGGTGCAGTGTCCATCCTTGGAGGTGTTTATGGCCCGGCTAGACAAAGCCTTGGCTGGGATGATGAGATAAGGATGCATGACTTGAAATCAAGTTCAGGACCCAAGGCTGCCACCACCAAGAAAATCTTGCCATCAGCCCCCACATAAGCTCAGGTCTAAGGGACTGTCCCTGCAAAGCTGTGGCCAAGATGCATCAGGCTCTATGCTCGAGCCTGCCAGCGAAGAAGTAGCCTCAAAGCAGTTGTTATGGGACCAGTGAAACCCATTGTCACAGCACAAGCACGCAGGAAAATGCACATCCCGAAGGCTCAGCCTGGGGCCTGGCACATTGACCATATGGTATCTCATAAAGACCTTGTGTGGAGCCCTTTGCAAAATGTCCATAGCACTAAAATTTGGAAGGACATTGGCATTTCCCTGAAATATTTGCTTATTGGTAGTAGTAGGGTTGGGAGTGTTGTAGCCACGATTGTCCGGGAAATGCACAAGAAGCGAAGATTTTCTTGTGATGTCTTTGGACCAACTCTATAGTTGGGAGAGCTGTTGGACAAGCCTTCAGGTATCAACACTTCAACCTTTTCCATCTTCCCTGACTGCCTTTCTTGCATGCACACCAGCCTCTGGCTTCTTTACTATTCACTCCTTCCAGGAAGAGCGCACACCAACTGCAGATGCTTCCTCAGCCTGGCAAAGGGTTGTTAAACCCGAAAGCTTGCTAGGAAAAAATGTTTCCAACTATTTGAGTTGGTCTAATAAAAGATATCGGATTCACCCAAAGAACCTTGTCTGCCTATATCTTTCCAGGACATTTTCAGGTTTTCACTCGAGAACAAAGGAGGAAAACCCCAAATGAAATATTGAGAAATTTTGAACAAAAATGTTAACAAGCACTGATGATTGTTGGTTTTGTTGATCTCATCACTAATGACTTTTCAAGAAAAAAAACTTCCTCAGCTGGCTCTTGCCCTGCATTGAGATTGCTGTCTGAGAGATACGGCTATGCAAAACCTTTGGACTGCAAGTTTTTAACATCGCCTCACACAACGAATGTACCTGAGTTTTATTTTCAGCATCTTTATCTAGCTTCTTGCAATCTTCCATCAACGATAGATACAACAATGGTCACTACCTCTAAAATGGATCAACAGTTTTCCAATGACAAATTTTCCACGTAAAAACTGGCCTCTCTCAAGAATCAACATATTTCATTTTTTCATTATTTTCTTCAATTAAAATAGCAATGTACTTTTTTTTCTAAAGACCCAAGTTGTTAAAGTTGTTAAAAGTTTAAATGAAGAAAAGTTGGAAGGAAGAAAATTAAACATCAGCGAGTCAGCGTTGAAGAGCTTGCTACCGTCTTGGCTCAAAAAGCCCGGCTAGAGATTACCTGACACGTAGTCGAGTGTTACGCACCCCATGACCTTGAACAAAAGATGACTGTGAGCAAATGCCACAATCACGTGGTTATCAAAAATACAATTGCTAAATACATAACATAGATGCACACAATACATGGAGGCATAACTAGTTGGATTATCATCCTCAAAGAGTAGTCACCAGTGGCTCAACATTGAATCTGCAAGAGAGATCCACTGGGTTTCCAAAGGGTCTGTCTTTGTGTCTGGTTTTTTTTTTTTACAATCTTCATTCATTTTAAAATGGGACTGAGTGCACACTTAGACTTTTACCACCTTTTCCCCAATGTCTGATGAAGGGTGTTTGTGCCCAAAAGCTTGCAATAATTTTTTTTTTGCAAAAATCTCGTTTGTCTAATAAAAGATATCACCTCTACCACAAGTCCTGATTGCTTTTTCCTCTAGACCAGTATGGCTATACCCTGGATACCTGACACTTAGCAGCTTTGCAGATGTCACCAACCTGGGTGGAGTTGCAGACCCTCTAGAGGGTAGAGCTAGGGTCCAGTATGACCTCGATAGACCAGCTAAATGGTCTGAAATCAACTGGATAAAATTCAACAAGGACAAATGCCAAGTCCTGCATTTACGATGGAAAAATCACATGCAAAAATACAGAATGGGGAACGACTGGCTGGGCTGCAGTACTGCAGGAAAAGACCCGGGGGCTATAGGGGACCGTAAGCTGAATAGGAGCCAACAGGGTTCTCTTGTTGCAAAAAAAGCAAAGGAAAAGAAAAAGGCAATAGCACGCTGGGCTGTATGAACAGAAGTACTTGCAAGTCAAGGGAAACGATCCTTCCATCCTATTCAGCACTGGTGAGGCCTCACATGGAGTCCTATGTCCTGTTTTGGACATCCCACTTCATGGAAGAGGTGGACAGATTGGAAAGAGTCTAGCAGAAAGCAACAAAAAGCATGACTTACAAGTCAAGATTTGGAAGAACTGGGATTATTTAGATGGGAGAAGAGAAGACCATATTTGATACCAGTCTTCTAATCCTTGAAGGATGAGTAGAAAGAGGATGAGAGGGTATCCTCTGTGGCCTTAGAGGGCAGGACAAGTTGCAATGGTCTTAAATTGCAAGAAGAGAAATTTAGGTTGGAAAGGAAGGAGAACTTTCTTACTATGAGGGTGCTTCGGCATTGGATCAGCACTCTGTTGGCCACGAGGCACATGGCATCTCCATCCTTGGAAATGTTCAAGAGCAGGTGAGACGGACAGGGTGGTGCAGTCAGAGGGGAGCCTGCCTTGTTGGACTCAACGTGGCCCTGCCAGCCCATAGAAAATGATGATGCTAATACATCAGGGGTGGAAGAGGAGGAAACATCAGGGAAGGGGATGAGCTAGTAGAGATAAAGGACAACAGCAACAGAAAAACACATGTTGATAAAATAAGACCCAAGTCAATCTAGTGCAATGAGTAG